GATATCAACAATCCAAGAACATGGTGGTTACAAAGGAGGTTATGCGCAACTCATTGATGTCAAGCACTAAATATCTCCATTAGCGCGAAATTCAAAAAGTTCTATTATTTTCTGAGTAGTCCTCGTATATACTCGTAGTTGCTTAAAAAGTGAAATAAGCACAGAGTCAATACAAAATAGCTAAAGTGCAAAACAAATATGCTCGTAATTCTCAAAAATTAAAACATTTCAGTAGAGAACGGCTAAGTTAAAAACCTTTCAAATTAGTGTGTTCCCAAATGAGGGCCCTAGTATCAAAGGCGGCAATCTCCACTTTTTGACGAAATCGAGTTAAATACATGATATTTTTCGTTTTTTCGCGCTCTGTCTAAATATATGGTTTGCGATTATCAAAAGCGGCTTTATCCCATTACAAAACTGCTTTAAAACATCACCTGAGAATCAAATCCGGCAATCTCCATTACCCGCTTAGAATCAGAGTCGGCAATATCCGTTTTGGCCAATCAGATGGCTCACAGCGAACATATGACGTGACGTGACACAACATGCTGTTTCAGATAGTTAGGAATTTATTATTATTTAGTTAGTTTTTTTTATTTTTGATTATACGTTTTGAATTAATTTTAATATTTTATTCTTTTGTCTGTTAGTCCATTCCAAAATACTTGGTATTTATTTTACAACTCATATTAGTGCAACCTTTGGTAACAAATCTTGCAAAATCCAACTGTTGGTATCAAACACGGCATTCTCCATTTATTTTTGTACATTTTTTCAGAATATATAAAAAATTTAGGTACATTAACCTTAAAATCTAATGTAGTTTAGCATTTTCCTTCATTGGAAACTATGCCTCCTTTGAATTAAGCAGTAATAAGAGTGTAGTAGTTTTTTGCGCTTTAACAAAAAGTGGAAATTGTGGAGATTGCCGCCTTTGATACTAGGACTCTCAAATATAAAGCATCTAAAGGAAAACATTTGTATAACGCGTATTATTACTTTTAGAAATTATATCGATCCTCGATGTTTTTCATTTAAAATTGAATTGTACCTATTTTTTATTAATTTATATATATATTTTTGTCATTTAACAGACCGAAAGATTATTTTGAATTTTTTTAAGTTTCACTTTTGTTATGGCCTTGGAAGTCCTACACGGCGTCTTTTTTGCTTATACAAGTCTGATATCTAAACCTTTGAATGCAAATTTTTCTCTAATACCTACCTCCTTAGAACCTATTAATGGAATGCGTGTCCTACCTAAGTTTTGAATACAGCATACAATATATTAGGTACCTAATTAAACTATTGTAACTTAAGTTGGTACTTACTCAAAATTTGCCTGGAAAATATTTATTTCGCTTTTGACAAATTTTGATGATTGATGAAATTATTAAAACTGATGACATCGCTGGCAAATACAGTCACAGATAAGATATGATTTTCACAAAAGGTTGATAAGAATGTACCTATTGTAACTCGTAACATTTACCAACACAGCGTGTTACAATTATAATTTAGATTTTAGTCAGTATTTTTTATTTCTTAAATTTTTGTACAATACGATTTTTCTAATTTCGATAATGTATCATCATTATTTTCAACTTTTTTTAAGCATGAAAGTTTTGAAAAATAAATACCTACAACTGCACAAAAGTTTATTTCATAATTTTTTCCACATGTGGCAAAGTACCAAATAAAGAAAAAACTATGCCACAATTAAGTAAGTTTAGACAATAAAATACCACTGCATCAAGTAAATAAGATTTATTAAGAAAAAATACATTTTTAATCCATATCTAATGATGCTTATTGCAGTAGTAACATTATATGGAATTATAAAAATATTTCACACAAGTGCTCATTTGTTTATTTCTATGTGGAATAGAAATTTATAACATATATTATATAAAAATTGTAGTAAATATCAATATATTTTCAGTGCAAACATGTATTAATTACTTTTTTGACACAGTGTGTTACTCTTTTATCTTTAGCTATTAAGTGAAAATATTGTAATTAATAACTCGTTAAAATTAGTCACTTACAGAAAAATGTATGGTGTAATAGGATTTAGAATAAAAATAGCAAACAATGAGTGAGACTTGATTGTACGAAATGGTTGCTCTTTTCGATTTTGGAAAACGCAAAATTAATGCTACGTCATCAGCATTCTCAAAATTGTACACATTATACGGTAAGAAAAAATTTATAATACTGGATCACACACATGTGAGTGTAGTATTAAATAAATCGCTTCTTAATTTCTTTTATATCCAAGCATATATTAAAAACAAGGATAAAAAATTAATAGTCCGGTTAAATGGACCTTGAAATAACAATTTTAGTCAACTTAATATACGACGCACGTCAAAAATCTTTATATGTTTTTTGTTGCATTTTTTAAGACCTTTATGCTCGTAAAAACAAATTTGAGATCCATGGCCAACTTTGTGAGTAATTATAAAAAAAACTTTTTTATTTTAAGAAATAGAGAAAACATATTTTAATAAAATTTCATGGCAAAATTGATATCTTTTACCTGGTGCGAACAGATTTTTAAAGTATCGTATGTAATTTGCTGCACCCTCTACGCTGGCAAAAAAAGATTTAATCGAAACAGACTGCGGCTACAAAAAATTGTTTGTTTTTTCCTCTTTCATGCGATATACTACAGGTTGCCTTTATCTTTTATATTTATTACATATTTTACAATTTTGGTATAAAAAATGTAAACATTTTCCTGGTAACGTAGAAGTTGTTATATACACAAAAAATCTAATATAATCTTTTCACATTATTGTAATATTGGTTTTTTACTTTATAAAAAACTGTGGCTTCTTGCACAGACAAAGCAGCTTACACTAAATGTAACACGCTATGAAAACAAATGTGATCCCAGTAATGTCACCATTTAACAAATTATTTATAGTTATAGTTTATACATAACTGTTGATTTAAAAATTGTTGCTGTTCATTTTGAATAATAATATTTTCACATATTGAGAAATGTAACATGTCAAAAACCTTCGCTGGTATGGATCTCTTAACAGGGCAATAAAATCAGGTGTTGTTAATAAAGTAGCTAATGTTAACAGAATTTTAAATTATGTAAATAGAAAAAATGAGCAAAACAGTGAGAGATTGAAGTAAACTACAATGTAGAGAGGAAGTGCTAGGATATTATTAAAAAAATGGTTTCAAATGTTATAATGTGAAAAAAGTGCATCTCTTGAGGCAGGAAAATAAACCAAGGAGATTAGGGTTCTGTAGGTAGTGACAAGAAAGAAAGAGGGAAGATCATTTTATATGCAGAATAATTTTCTGGTCAGATGTGTCTAATTTTTGTAACAATGGATTTTTTGATGGAATACCAGGTGAAAGATATCAATTTTGCCATGAAATTTTATTAAAATAAGATTTCTCTATCTCTTAAAATAAAAAAGTTAGACGTCCCTAAACTTTCTGTACTTTTCCGGGTTTTTTATGATTACCTATAAAGTTGGCCATGGATCTCAAATTTGTTTCTACGAGCGGCAAGATCTCAAAAAATGCAACAAAAGACATATAAAGAATTTTGACGTGCATCGTGTATGTAGCGAGATAAATAGGAGTGGCCCTTTTATAGTAGACAGCCTGTATAATAACAAGCGACAGTCATTTTTCTTTCAACCCAAGTTAAGGGATATGAGAAATTTTAAAATATCATGACAAGCAAAACTTTCCTTTTAGGAAATTAGATATATTTTTAATTTTAATAAAAAACAAGTTATAACAATTTTAATTTTTTAATTGTCAACTTTAATGATTTAACAACACTAAAATATTTTTTTCTATACCATTAGATTAATTATTTAAAATAATGAAAGCTGCTTTTGAAATTTTTTCTTTGATTTTCGGTTTTTCTGCTTATGACTTTTTAAAATTTCTCATATCCCTTAATTTCTAGCCTCCCTAACTGTATCAATATTAATAGTAGAATAAAAAGTCAATAGGTCATCTTTATGTAAAATTATGCTCTATACTTAACCTATGGTGAGGCTCAGAGTTACGAGCTCTACGCAGGCTCTCTTTAAAACGATATTAATTCAAAACCTGTTCACTTTTTGGTTTGATTCTTAAAAAAAAATTGNTTTTGCGTTCATTTGATGTCATGTGCGTAAAAACTGGTTCTACGATAACTCGTTATAGCCGAGATCACTGTTGCGCGAGACCAAAATCAAAGCTCGTAATAGCCAAGCCCTCGTTATATACGAGTTCGTTATAGACGAACAAAAATACACGTCTTACATAGGGAATTCGGAAGGGACATTTCAATTTGCTCGTTATAACCAAGTGCTCGTTATATCCCCTGCTCGTTATAAGCGAGTTCAACTGTATTTTTAATTTTAATAAAAAACAAGTTATAACAATTTTAATTTTTTAATTGTCAACTTTAATGATTTAACAACACTAAAATATTTTTTTCTATACCATTAGATTAATTATTTAAAATAATGAAAGCTGCTTTTGAAATTTTTTCTTTGATTTTCGGTTTTTCTGCTTATGACTTTTTAAAATTTCTCATATCCCTTAATTTCTAGCCTCCCTAACTGTATCAATATTAATAGTAGAATAAAAAGTCAATAGGTCATCTTTATGTAAAATTATGCTCTATACTTAACCTATGGTGAGGCTCAGAGTTACGAGCTCTACGCAGGCTCTCTTTAAAACGATATTAATTCAAAACCTGTTCACTTTTTGGTTTGATTCTTAAAAAAAAATTGCCAGAGCTTGCCGAGGCTCCCCGATCTCGTGAGACCCAAGGCTACAGCTTCTGTAGCCTCCTCCCCTTATTCTGGCCCTGGATATTATGATTTCTAGCATTTTACAAAGTTTTTTTTCCTTTTACTAGCTTTTGAGCAAAATTGTTATAACTAATTTAGACATTTCCACTTACACTCAAAATTTGTCGAACTGTAAAATGTTCATTTCAATTTTTTTTAATTGAAAAAGCAAAAGTACAGGATTAAATTTATTGTATTTAGAAATAGTATCTTAATGACAAGTGTTCCTTGATTATAGTGTGTCCACGGATGAAGTTAAAAAACAGGGAAAATTCTATTTTTTATTTTATAAAACAGGGTGTTCTCTATAAAGAAGTGACTAAAAATATAATAGTTAATTTTATCCTTAAAACTCAATCCATATATCAGTTAATAAAGACATAAATAAACAGTTCTTTTTCGACATCCAATATGTACCTACAGGGCATCCCCAGATTCAAATTTGATATTGTCAGATATTTGTTAGCAATTGGTTTAAATTTTCCAACATATAATATCAAAAAATATAAAAGTTTATACGTGGAAAAGGTCTACCCAGAAATTATTTTGCCCCTTACAAGATTTTTAACAGGGAAGTCTTTTTCCAACTCCATCTGTGGACACACTGTATAAAAGAAATTCGAAACATGATTACTCAAGTTTTAATAAAAACCTGTTATCGTAAGGCAATTTCATTGCATACTTTTATTACTTAAAAATAAATATGTATATATGAATAATAAATATTACTTATTTGTTAAACAATATAAACATGATTTAAACCGTAAAACAAAAAAAATAATCTACATATAGGAGTATATACAAAGTTTAAATCTATGTAAGATTAATAATAATGGTAATAAAAAGTAAAATTGTACAAATTAAATTAAAAAGAAAATAATGGTATGCATATAACTATATAAAAAAATAAATTTTATGTACTTATATAACAATTTGAACACTAATAAGTAGCGGTCCTAACTGTCGTTTGTTTATTAATGACTCTCTCACCTTGAGCCAGCTGTCCGCTCTTGATTGCCTTAAATTTCAAAAAGGAATCAAATCCGTATGCAATCATGGCACAAAATCCGAAGAACTGAAATAGAAAAGTTATAAGATATCAATCATAGGTAATAGGCCAATCAATAAAGCATTAAATCAGTGAGTTTGTGACAAAAATACTAGTAGCAAACGGACTGTGCCATCATATAAGTCTGTAGATATATGCTTATATATTTCCTACTCGAATTCACCATTAATTAATTATAATTATAAAACCTAAACTAACGAAGCAATTTGAATGCTACAAAGAGACAATTTGTAGAGAATCAAAATACGAATAAAACAAGGTCAATCGATCCGATCAGAAAATTTACTTATACATATATCCATTAACCCTCATTTCCCAATCTTCCCCCACAAATCGAACGTGTACGCGCGCTGGGCCGTTTTTTAGCATGTTTGGAGAAATTTTTCACCTATTTTGCATCATTTTATCTGAAAATTAGAATATACGTTTTGTAGTATTATACTTCTACTTTTAAAGTCTGGCTGAAAAAAAAATCCAATGCGTCCAGAAATTTTACAAAAGTGCCTTTCCGAAATCAATTGAAGAACCACGAGGTTGACAATATGTACCAGGTTCGGTCATTGATGCAGCAACTCATCATTGAAATATTTGAAAAACTTGTTCCCATATTTATTTAGCCGTACCCATATACAGGTCTGGTCGAACTAAATGTGGAGGTGGTAGAAATGTATACACCCAGTTGAAGAATGCGGGCGCGGGCAAGCGAAATACAAACACAGCTGCATTGGGCCACTGGGCAATATATCTCAGCTGTTGACAAGTTGTTGACAAATTCCCAGCAGTGCAGTGCAGCAATGCGGAATTTGGTGTGATTCAGGTAATTTTAATTTATTATAGGCACCTTCTATTAGTCACTCGTATTGCAATTGCGAAAGGGAGAAGTAATATTATTACAACATGGCATTTTGGAAACCTTTTGAAATGGAACAAAACAAAATTTACCATCAATATAATAAAATTGTTTGAAGACATAAATATGTAATTATAACATGTTGTTGGCCAAATGAACATATAATAGAAATTTTCTGCACATTATATATAAATTAATATAATTTTTTACCTTTATCAGAAAGCTTTTTTAGGGACGCCTATAAAACTCATTAAATTTTATTGTCAGGCGTTTTCTTACATGTTCAACTGACTTCGGAAAGATTATAATGATCTCGATAAACAACTAGGACATAAATAATTAAAATATGTTGTTGGACAAATGAACATATAATAAAAATTTTCTACACATTATACAAATTATTATAATTTTTTACCTTTAACAGAAAACTTTTTTAGGGACACCTATGAAAGTCATTAAATTTTATTGCCAGGCGTATTTTTACATGTTCAACTGACTTCGGAAAGACAATACCAAAAAATTCTAATTGCAATTGTGCCAAAACTAATGGTCCGACAGCGCCTGCTTTGTGCACACTTAAAGTGCACATAATTCACTACTTTTGTGCACAGGATCAGCAAAACTTAAAAAATCGCGTAGTAATAAATTTAAAAAAACAAACGAAAAATTTTACAATGTTTCCTGGTTTTCTTCGTTTCTAATTATCCAATTGGATCGATCGACCTCTCGTTTTATTCGTAAGTTTAGGTTTTATAAGCAAATAGAAAAAACTAAAAAAAATGCGTTTGTTGCATGTTCATAAAAAATTAATTAATGGGAAATTGGAGTAGGAAATATATGTCTACAGATTGTCTTTTATATGAGTCCGTTTGCTACTAGTATTTTTGTCACAAACAAAACCTTTATTTATTGGCCTATAATGTAACTTTTTAATATTGAACAAAAATGTGTTTTTGTTTTCTCGTGCTATTTACTAAAATAATTATATGGAAACTACTTTTACATAATGCTTTGTTCATATTGTACTACTTAAACATGCTTTGCAATAAAATCATTATTCACAATCTACATGCTATTCACTACAAAGTAATAATTTGAAAGAACTAGATCTATGCGAAGTGTGAATTACTTACTAAAAATAACTGTATTTGTTAAAACGAATATAATCATAGAAATTTGCAATTGCGGTTTAAAATACGTATAAACTGAGCAAAGTGATTATAATAAATGTCTTACCCCAGCAGCAATATAAGCTTCTACACCAAAGCTAACAGCTACACATGCAGCAATTAAGTACAAACCAGTCCAAATAGCACAAAAAATAAATTCAATTTTTAACCAAGGTATCTGGTAAAATTTCTCAACAATGTGGAATAAATATAACGCAAGTAATATGCCTGTAAACCAAAAAGCTGTCATTGACACAAAGTTGAACCATGATCCTCTACTATGATACGAAAATGGCCCACTTGCTTCGATACAAATAAATCCAACCAGATTTAAAACCTAAAACATTCCGAGATAACATTTGAATGAAGGAGTAATGGTTGATACAAACCGACACTAACTCAAAAATAAAGACACCGAGGAAAATAGTTTGAATTTAAATATTTTAAATTAAAAAAAAATTGATAGTACACAATCGCAGTGTTATTTTACATCATATATTACATATTGTTTCAATATATTAATAAACAGGTTATATTCAGAAATGAATTATATACCTAATTTGATTTATTCTTTCATTTTAGAAAACTACATACTATCTAGAATGAATATACCATACCACAGAAGTAAAATGTAGATCATTTTTTTCTTTTAAAAATGGTAATAAAATGATATTTAAGTTTATACTCGGTTTAATAACGAAAAAATTGTAAAATATACAGGGTGTTCCGATTTAAGGGTGTATACGGCAACAAATTTTTTTTTATTAGACTAAAAAACACATCGAATTTGTATTAACAATTTTCTTTTGAAATCTAATACCACAATGCCATTATTTACCCTTGTCATTTTTTCAATTATTAATAATTGATTATATAAGAATAAATTAAATAAATTAATACAAAAATAAAATTATGTAAAACCAGTAAAAACATACCAATAATTGTGATACTTTTAAATTTTTAACACAAGTTTAAAAATATCTTAAAAATTTGGTACTTACGGGAACATTTTGAGCTTCAAAAAAGGTAGTCATGCAATTTTTAAACTACATTCGAACAGAAATACTTGTAACAAATATATCATGTGTAAATTTTGTTCAACTTACAATTTGTATTACTTTGAGTAATCCAGGGAGAGTTCTTATATACAATGGATCAAATCGAATTGTAGTCTGTACAGTAGTACTGGACGTCTGAACTGTAGTTGTAGTTGTATGTTGACCTGGAAATCCTGGATCTGCCATTATAACTAAAACAAAATGATAATACCTAATTAAATGTATTCATGTAGGTATTTTAACTAAATGCTAATTAGATTATGATGTCATAGTAATTATTATAAATTATGGGTTTAAGTTACTGTATTATCATCAAATTATTATAATTCTTTACACAATCAGCTTATATATTATTAAACATAAAGTAGGTACTAACACTTTCTAGAAATTATGTCTAAATTGATTTTTATGTCTACAGTGAATCAGTATATATTTTATTACTGTTGCTGTAAATAAACAGATAATTAAATTGCAATATGATATCCTTTATTAAAAACTTACTAGGATTATGGAAAAGTAGGCAATTTTGAAATACTGTCTACAGAGTGCCTATTTTTAATTTATTTGTAAATGACCCCACCAACACTAGCACTACACATACATTACCTCATATTTAGGAGGCGTTGTCTATGAAGCATAAAGCAGATGCCTTGCCAGTTAGCTATTTGGCTAAGGTAAATAAGTAATGTTAGCAAGTTTCACCGTTTCATGCTGAAACAATAAAGAAAGAAAACCATTCTGTTGATTAATGGTATGAATAATTGTCATTAGATGGCGACAACGATGGTACATGATTATTTGTATTCCGTTTCGATTTGTATGCAGCAGGGATACTAGACACCATGGCCGCGTTCAGCCGAAAATAGCGCAATAGCAGTATCGCCAGTATCTGCTAAGAAGTAGCATGTAGCGCTCTATCTGGCGCGGAAAACCATCGACCACAATCTCATGGAACATAAATCACAGTATGGTCACATATCTAACCCATATCCGACACTCCTTTGATAAGGCACAGATGCCGTCGTTGACCTTGTCCATTTAAATTGGATGCTAAACGCTGCCAGATAGGACAATAAAAATTGATATCTGAAGAAAGTGTTGCCAATTCGAAATATTGAATGAACATGAACATAAAATGCTTACACCTACATTTATTACAATTTTCACTTAATTGATAAAGTGTCTGTCTAACCGGGATGATAAATTAGATAA